AGGACTACGATTACCAAATATTATCTTCTATATATCATATTTATCAGTCCGAGCAGCGTTTATTTATTTATAAACTACTATTACGGTTCATGCTTATTTATGCTTGTACCTTGTCCTGCTATATCTAAACTTCTGTATATTTTTTGTATTGTTTATGACAAAATATGTGTAGAAATGTTAAGATAACTAACTTGTCATTGATGTCGTGTGCTCTGGTTTGACCTCAAATCAAACATTTTTAGCTTATTTCTCTTTATTCAGGTATTGGTACCCTGTTCGAAAACTCTTGGCGAAACAAAATCATTCCTTCATTTTTATACATAACCAATTTTGTTTTTCATGAAGATTTTAATCACCGATTTTTGTGGATGCGATTGTTTCCAGACAGCTTGGATTTTGGTGTCAGATATTTGAAAAAGTATCAATGTTCTTTAATCGGCCAATAGAAACCTCTCGTTTCAGTTTCAATTCTGAACTTTATAAATATTTATAAAGATGAAGGAACGCCCGTGTTGCACCAAGTGTATAGCTTGTAATGTTTGCAAAAATGATACAAATCTATCATGATAAAAAACAGCAGCTATAATATTTTAATACAATTGTTTTTTAAATGCGATTACGGAACATTTTGACTAATATTACAGTGGTTAGTTCAATAATAACTGTTTATTTTTTTATTGTTTTTAACACAATTTCATGGAATGCCAATTAGAATTACTACTATTTCTGTGTTTTTTTATTTCACAGAGATCGATTGAAAAGAGAGCAGGTAATTATTAATCGTATTTGCTATTTATTTATCTAACCTATAATGGTTGTTACGTGTTACCGCTGTTCCCTAAATCCATATACCGGTATATGCCGTTCAATGCAGTCAACACTGTGTATTGAGAAAGGCCTACTGGTGCATTAGATACTCAGTCCATTGAGGTCATTTTAATTTTCCTTCGGTCAGTGCACTATATATATTAACAAAGATGCCTAAAATCTATTCCAAAATTATTTAATAAACATAAATTAAAACAATAAATTTACAATTGTAACAGTTCTTATTGTGCATCTCGTAAGGCACGACGTGGAACCATATTAATTAACCATGTATCAGTGAACAGAAACAAATTGCATATTCAAACTCAGAAATAATGAAACCACAATTATTTACATACAGTGGCACAGATCAGAATGATAAGTTGCTAGCTGAACAACAAACACTCAATAGCTGTTCCGTCAGAATATAAAAGACTAAGCCACGCCATAAGCGGCTTTTAAAAGAAAGTTATATGCTGATGCAGCATACTACACCATGCAGCGGACTTCATTTGAATAATCATTAACCATGAATATCGTAATAGCGCCATCCGCGTCAAATAACAAAAAAGAAATAAACAAAAAAACTATAGGGTCTCAATCACAATATATGTCCGTTTTTCATGAAAAAAGTGACTGCCTTCACTATCGGATGACGCCATTGGGCCTAAGACTTATTACCATCTATTCATGGATGTCATGGCAACCATATGCAAATAAAAGTACGTTTTCTGAAGCGTACAACTGCTTACGAGTCATGCTTCTGTTTTTAGAGATTAAATTGCTGCAATTGTGCCGAATATCAAATTGATAAATCTTCAATACGAACAGTTGTAGTGTATTTTATTACTTTGTCGGTGCTAATAATATTTTAGAGTCTATCCTGAGGTATTGCATGTGATATCAGGATTTGAATATGGCGTTAACTGTAGCGGATTTTCAGCAATGTGTAATCCCGTTACTAGATAACATTAGCATATGCTATAATATTGACTAATATGCATACTTAATCGTTATTCTAGTTGACTATGAATATGTGAGTGGATTCGTGAGTTATTCAGGTGCGGTAACAGCGTGTGAAAACATTGGCAAAGTGATTGTTCAGCTTTGCTCAGAGGCAGAACAGAATGACCTAGAAGCATATTTAGCATCCCAATTCCCTCCACCGGCTGTTATTCCAAAAGGTACGGTAATAAATGCCTATTCAGATTTATAATGGATATTTGATGGTGCGATTGTAATGACAAGAAATCAACATTTACGTAAACTCGTAAGATGACTTATATTTTCATATTGTATCATTCAGTATTTTGTTTTTCATGGAGGTTTTAAATTCGGTATTGATCATCGAACATTTTGTTGTATGTGATTATTCCTAAACAGCTTGGATTGGTGTCAGATATTCCAGCGGAAAGTGGAGGTGCGGGACAGGTGCAGCTCTGAGTTACCAAAATTGGGTGTATCCCCCCGGAAGTAATACCGGCTGTGCGTTTCTGTAAGTAAACTCAGTTTCATCAAATATAAATGATATAATTACATTCTCGTCATTGCAATGAGGGATGGTACACTAAATCAGCAATATTCAGCTGTGCATTAGAACGCGAGATTCTATCGGTTGCAAATCACTCCAAGGAGGAGTCACGCTAAATTGTGGTAGGGACGTCATTGTGGTGTGGTTTTTATGATAGATGTTGTAAAAAATAGATTCTCACACACTTTATTTGCCCATCGTGTGGCTAGAGAAGTGTTTGAAAAACGGGTTGATAAACAATACTATTAAAAGTGAAAATAAAATCACGAGGCATTTTGGATTATTTTTCGGTGTTTTGGGTTTCGTGACTACCACCTTGCAATATTTTTAGGCAAATCCCTTCCACACCATGATTTCAAATGGTCGACCAATAACATGAAGTTTGGTTAAATGTCTTGTTGTTTTAATTAAGTAGTCTTGCCACGCAGCTGATTCACTATTTAGGAAACGTCAGCTAATTAACATTAATTCACTTGCAGACAAGATGATTACAGGTGGGATTATGCAATTTGAAGATGTTTCATCATGAATGTTTTGCTTTGCATAACATGTAAAGCAATAAACAAAATGGCGGCGCCCATTGACCGGAAATGCACAGTCTTTTAATCCTTACGATAATCCCTCCATACTCTTTATGCATACACATGCTATCTAGAGATATAATACAATTTGCCCATGTGAACCCAATCGTCTTTTTTATCATAGCCACAGAGCCAGAGCCAGAGCCAGTGCCAGAGCCAGGCGTATCAGGTGATCCACATATGACGTCTTTTGACGGTCGCCCATATAGTTTCCAAGGCACATGCTGGTATACTCTTTTTAAAGACTGCTCAACAAATCCTGCCTTCGAAGTAACAGCTGAGTTTGAGCCTAGGGAAGACAGTACATTTGAACAAGTGAGAACGCGAGCTGTTTCTGTTAATGTAACAGTTGACGGTGACTTTGTTATTATTAATGGATTGGACGTCGTTACAGTAAGTGATTTGCTCACAAAATAGTGCATGACAATCTCTTTTCATTGTTGTAAAAACTCAGAACAATTACCATATTTAAAAAGATTCAGAAATTTGTGCTTCTGTTGGATAGGATTGCTTATAATCTTTACACAGTATCTTATGACAACTTGAGTGATTATACAAATTGCGGGTGCATCTTAAATTTTCAGAAACTGTTATATTTATATTCCAGGGAAACACTAAAGGACATATAACTGATGCAAAAGCAATACACGTTCAAGAATACGATAACACAATAACAATGACCTTCACCTCAAAAGATACCACATTCACTCTGTCTTGGATATTGAAGAAGCACAGCTTAAGAGTATCGTTATCTGGATCTGACTACCGTGGTCATCTATGTGGACTTCTTGGAGATGCTGATGGTGACACTCGTAATGACTTCCTAAAACCTGGTGGTGATGTAATCCACAATGCTACTGAGTTTGGAGAAAGCTGGAAAGTAGATTGGAAAAAGTAAGTTGGTTGACCAATTATTAAAGAAATTAGTGTTATTTGTGGTTCAATAGACACAGTTACAGCATATTTCACAAGTTATTGTTGAGTATACGTTTTTAAGAATTGCCAGAGTAGTTGACAATTAGATATTATGTTCAGTACAGTTTTGTGAAGCTGATATGCTAAATATGTCTACACAATAGTACACATATGCCAGTAAAGCTATTAATATTGTTTTAGTCACATGACAAGGTATAAACGAACCAGATCACAAATGGAATTTAAATATTGTTTTGTTTTTGTTTCAGATGTGAATAGCACTGTCCTTATTCCGACGAGCTATGCATCAACATATAATGAGCATGCCTCTCTATCATTTACCATGTTTAATTTAGTTGGGTACTGAGCTTTGGGTCGCTTTCGAAAAGCATTGAATTGTTGTTTATTATGCTTCAGCTAACATTATAATATAACGATGTGTCAAAGGTATATTTAACGCCGAACTTGCAATAAAAGGTCATGATATGGGTACTATAGCGTTTGTGTATTTCTTCACTTGCATATTACTAGTTTAGTTTCTTCAAACATAGACAAAATATAATGTAAGGTACCGTTGTCTTTGCGTGCACCACTGCTCCATCAATTTCCACTTAGAATCACAGAACTTGTTTTGCCTCTTAGAGTGCGTTCAACAGTAATTGCGCTTTTATAAAAAAATATGTTATTTGATTAAATGGACAAACCGACCATTCCTGATCTGAGGTTATAGATTAATGTACAGCGAATGAAAACAAATAGTTTATCTTTCGGGAAGTACATGACACCGACTCACTTTGCCGTATCAACACAAAGGCTAATCAAATAAATAAATAAATAAATAAATAAATAAATAAATAAATAAATAAATAAATAAATAAATAAATAAATAAATAAATAAATAAATAAATAAATAAATAAATAGTTATATTAATTTAGTTTGGTAATTAATGTAGTTCTCTCATCAGCATAAATCTGGTTCGCAAATTGGTTTTACTATGTTTCAATAATCCGTTAACGATATTCAGGTGTCTCAATGCACTTTATGAAGTTGTATGATATCCTGGTGCCTGAAAGTACTTTCATGCAGCTCCTGATAATTTATATTAAATTCTCCAGACGTTTTAAATCATCCTTTGGTGTCTAAAAGCATAATAACAATAAAAGAACGCCAACCATATGTTTTTGTGGTACATTTTTAATCTTTTCTTTTCAATAAAAAAAAGATCAGTGTTAGATGACTTGAAGCCACTATGATCGGGTTCATAACGGTCAACCAAGTCACATAAATAAATTGGAGCAGAATTATTTAAAATGCAAAGCCATTGTATTATGCAACTCTTCGGACATTGTAGACGATACTGATATAAATAACCATGCAATTTCTCCGGACATAGTGAATAAATATCTGTTGCCTCAAAACATTTTCATATGTACCCTTGGAACAGGCGACGTGGTAATTAATTGTTGCAATGTCCCAACAATCTTTGTGACTTGATGTTGTATATAGTTGTCCCGTTGTCTCTATTCACTTTTAAAACTCTCCATGCACAATGATGTAGAGGATACTGTGGTGTCACTTTTCTTAATTCCTATACATCTTTGCAGCCATTGTAGATGATAGTCGTGTGTCTCTTTATTAAATTTCCATGCAAAAATTAAGCATTTTGGCGACTTCGAAGCAACTCTCCCGAAGTTGTAGGTTATATTTTGTCATATAAAACCACTTATTATTATTATTGAACTGATGCATTGTACTGATGCACTATGGGTTTTTTTAGCTGAGACTTGAAAACAGGCAACGTGAGTGCAAAGCAAAGAACTCAGGGAAGTACGTTCCTGAGCCTGAGTGCAGCAACCTAAAACGCCCTCTTTCCTTAATGCTCTTCGTTATAATGGGGTTCAAATAACCCCATAGTGGACGAAGAACGAGTTTTCGTAACTGGAACTGGAATAGTAATGTGGTCGGATAGATAATATGGCGCTTCATTGTGTGAAATCTTATATTCATCCATCAGAAATTAAAGTGCCATGATAGATCTCACATGATATATCATGTTGCTGTAATTGTCCTATCTCTATTTTGATATGTTTCTGATGACTGCAATAGAATGCCATCATATTTCGGGCGTTTTGTAGTCAGTTCTCTTGTATATGGTGTTGGGGTCGCTGCACTTATCGTGGCCTGTGTTCGGTCAAGGGATCCTTATCAAGAATGTTGACAATCTTTTGGGCCTTTGTCCTTAAGACCATTATTTGCTAGGAAGTCACACTCGCTGAGAAAATAAATGTGTCCGCATTTTCTGGGCCGTGCGTTTGGTTTGGTGTACTGCTTTTCCTCTGACGCCGTGAAAAAGCTGAGAGCATGACAGTGGCGTTCTCAATTCTCTGGGGAACTGTGGAGAATTCAAATTCATGGAAGTGTGAAGCTCATTAGGTTGTAGATTCTGACGCCAGCGTTCTAATTCTTTGTGTTTTTGTCAGACACCACTGTTTGTATGCGAACACAAATCAACACTACTCAACTAAACAAAACAAAATATATGCACATCCTGTCTTAATCTGAGGTTTGCCAATTTGCGTCAGTGTGTGATGCTTATAGGTTTTGTTCGAAAGACATGGCACAACAAAGATAAAATGCACATCCTGTCTTAAACAGAGGTTTGCCATTTTCTCCTGCACTGATATATATATTTTTTGTTATCCCATATCATTATGAATAAGTTTATTTCACAATAAATAAAAAAATAAAAATAAGAAATTTGTGGTGGGGATCATTGAACTAGTCTAGTCAGTGACCCATTTTATAGTTAGCAAACTAGCAAGAGATAATATAAATCAATAAATAATATGTACATGGAGGCACTGCTTACATAACAATAATTGCAAAGTTAAAAATTGAAAAAAAACGTCTGCCTAATAAATAACAAAAATTATTTGTCAATATTATTGATAAGAAACAGTTGACAAATAATAATACATTGTAATAATAATATAATATCGTAACAATGAATAGAATGCCAGTGAAAAAGAAGTTAAAATAAATTAAATCAAACAAAATTTAAGCAAATCAAATTTAAAATCAATTCGAATCAAATTAAAAACAACTTGAATCAAATCAGGTTGAAGTATAACGACATAAAAAAATACTAATTATTTACAAGGAGGTGGGATATTAATGTGGATTTGAAACTATATCTGCCTGTTTCATGTTGTACTTCTGTGGGGAGAGAGTTCTAATGTTTTGCTGCTGTGTATTTTAGAGCATTTTGATTCATTTTGGGAATATAATAATTGTCGCTTGTTGCTAGGCAGGTTGGGTAATCATGGGGCATGGGTTCAAGGTAATTCATTTTATGTGTAAAATGGTTATGTTTTAAGTCAAATACAAAAAGGGAAGTTTGAAGCTTGCAAAGTTTATACACATCTAAAAGCCAAAGTTGTTGAAATATGGAAGCTGTATGGGCATGAAAATGAGAAAAAGTAATTAAACGAACAACTTTCTATTGGAGAAGCAGAACTGGTTTGAGTAATGATGGATATATCATTAATATAGATGGAGAATGAAATAGGGCAAAGAATCGATCCTTGTGGAACTCCGCATTTCATATTATTGTATGAGGAGAGCGAATTATTAATTTGGACACAATGCTGGCGATCTGAACGGTAATTTTTGAACCACTGTAGCGAGAGTCTTCTGATACCACAATTAGCATGTTTATGGAGAAGGATTTTGTGATTAATATTGTCGAAAGCTTTTTTAAGATCAATGACAATTCTGACAGTGATGTAACCCTTGTCCTTGTTATCAGCAATGCTTGTTACCAGGTCAGCTATGGCGAGTTTGGTACTATGTTTCTCCGAAAACCCAACTGTTTGCATGAAAGTATGTCATATTTATCAAGGAAGTTAATGAATTGTTTATTAACAAAAGATTCAAACACCTTATTAATAACTGGAAGGATTGAAATCGGACGATAATTACTGGCCCCGGTTGCGGAACCATTTTTGAAAATAGGAATTATTTTAGCAATTTTCAGTGGATCAGGAAAAATACCTTGTCTCAGTGAACAATTTATAATGTAGGCAATACTATTGGCTGAATGAATTATTGTTTTGCGGTTGATTTTATCCTGACCAACAGGTTTATTTGGGTCCAATTTAATGATTTCAAATGTCAACAGGGCGAAAAAAGAAAGAATTAATTTGATTATTGTTAAGATAGTTTATAAAATCATCAGCATTAGTTATATTAGCTGCGAGGTTATGACCAACATTGGTTATGAAATAATTAAATTCCTCACCAATATCAGCACTACTGATCAGGGGCATACCATCTGCTGAATTTAATTTAATTAGGGTGGAAATACCTTTACTTTTCTTCAGTGTGTCGTAAATGATTTTCCACGGTTTATTGAAATTGCCGTGAGGAAGTGAAAATTTACTTGAGTAATGCGTTTTTTGGCTGACTTGAGCAGCTTAGTAAGTAAGTAACTGTACGATTTATAATTATTTGAATTTTGAAGATTTTGGGGGTTCTTTTTTATTTTGTAAAATTAACTACGTTTTTTGTTAATAGATTTAATTAGCCCTTTGGTCAACCAAGGCTTACGAGCCGAACTCCTCTTCTGGATTTTCTTAAACTTGAGATGTCCTGATGAGACGTTCGAGAAGATGTCATAAAATTGTGTGTATGCCATATTTGGGTCGCCACAATCATACACCTTTTGCCAGGAATTTTTATTCAAGTCAGCTAAAAAAGCGTCAACGTTGTAATTATAAAAATCGTATTTATATATAGTATTTTCTTGCATGAAAACATGAGCAAGGGTCTTAATTAATTATGCCAAAAATGGGAAAATGATCGGTGATATCAGAGTGTATACTACTACCACATTCAAAGATATTAGTTACTAGATGGTCGATGGTTGTATGTGAAATACCAGCAACCCTTGTAGGTGTTGTAATAATTTTAGCGAAGTTATATGTACTGAGGAGGTTGAGATAATTGGTAGCAGACGTAAAGTTAACTGAAATATCAATGTTCACGTCACCAATGCTTACCATTAGTGTACAGCTGGTTAAGGCATGTCTCTAAATTGTCAAGGTATTCATGATATGGGATGTTAGGCCTACGGTAATTAACACCAATGATGAGTTTAGTATTTTAGTTTCCACAAAAATTGATTCACAGTGCATAATTTTAAAGGCGATAATGCACTTAGAAGACAAAGAGTTGTGAATATATAGCGCAACTCCCCCACCTTGTGAGCCTTCTCTGT